AAAAAAAAAAAGAAACAGGAAGAGAGAGGTTAGGTAATCTACCCAATTGGTAGCAAAGTCAGGATTATAACGCAGAAAGGGTAACTCCAGCACAAAATCCTGTGAGGAGAACGCTCGACTGATGAGAAAGCTCTGGGCTGTCACTTCTCCCACCTGCCTCATAAAACGTTATAGGAGAAATTAAAGCGTTTTCTTGATGGGGGTCATCAGTGGAGATTTATTAGAGGGAGATAAAGTGTCAGTCTTCTGGGAGAAAGTCGGAGAAGAGAAAAATAAAAGGTCTGAAAAAGAGGATGGAAAAGAAGACCATCTGCCCAGAAAGATAAACCATATATGGTTAGAGTCTGCCCAAAGGCAGCTGAGGTCTGCAGTACCTGACGTGCTACTTCCAAATGAAAATTGGAGTAGCAAGGATATTTCCCTCTCATGCGCTTTTATTTTTGTAGTAGGTTCAGATTCATTAGATACATGTCAGATGTCCAACATTTAAAAAGAAACAGCTTTAAGAAATAGGGTGTCTTCTGGGGTTGGTGGAATCTGGGACTTACTTGATCTTTCCTTAAAAATGAAAAGGGGAGGGGCGCTTGGATGGCTCTGTGGGTTAAGCCTCCAACTCTTGATCTCAGCTCAGGTCTTGATCTCAGGGTCACAAGTTCAGGCCCCGCATGGGGCTCCACGCTGGGTATGGAGCCTACTTTAAAAAAGGGGGGAGAGGGGACAGGGAAGTAGTAGAAGAAAATGACCATTACAATTCCAGGTAGAAAAACCTCTATATGAATGCAGTCCGGCTACCCTGAAAGCTTGTTGAAGCACCTGGGCAAGAGTTGTAGCATCTTGCGTTGGTTCTCTTTTCTGTACTTCCAATGGCTGTGGTTTTTGATCAGGCTCAGCACTAACTCAGACCATGTGGACCGCAGATGAGATTGCCCAGCTGTGTTACGAGCACTATAGGACCAGGCTGCCCAAGCAGGGGAAGCCTGAGCCCAACCGTGAGTGGACATTACTAGCAGCCGTGGTGAAGATAAAACCTGCAGCTGACCAGGCCTGCGGCGGCACTAACAAACCAGCACAAGGTGAGGCCTTTTCACCTCCCAACGCTCCCTCTCCCTGTCAGAGATGGTAGGGGAACTGTTCATGGCCGGGCAGGGACAGTCCTGGCTGGTGTCAGCTGCAGTGGTGGGCAGTACTTGCGGTGGGAGCTGGCGGTGCTCGAACCACATTTGACATTTTATAAGAGCTCACCTAATGATCCGTTCTTTTCCTCTCAGTGACAAAGGAAGTTGTCTCAATGGGAACAGGAACGAAATGCATAGGCCAGTCCAAAATGAGGAAGAGCGGTAAGCCCGGGTAGGGTTTAAACAACGCCTGTCTAGGGAGCTTTGGCAACCACCCTGCATTTTGTCCTTTCCTCTTTTCCTGTTAAAGGGGCCACATCAGGGGCGCCTGGGTGGCTCAGTCGGTTGGGCGTCTGCCTTCAGCTCAGGTCATGATCCCAGAGTCCTGGGATCGAGCCCTGCATCGGGCTCCCTGCTCAGCGGGGAGCCTGCTTCTCCCTCTCCCACTCCCCCTGCTTGTGTTCCCTCTCTCGCTGTGTCTCTCTCTGTCAAATAAATAAATAAAATATTTTTTAAAAAGGGGGGGCCACATCACTGAGGTGGCTGACCTTTCCATTCCCCCTGTCACTCCATTGGGAAGGACAGTACTCATTTTAAGAATCGGAATACACAATGGAGGCAAAGGCCACCAGGAACATGCTTTCTGCATAGATTGGAAGTTGGCCAGTATTTTCATGCGCAAAACAAAAGTTCCCTGGACTTAGCTGCTCCCCATTAGGTCCAAGGCCCCCCAAAAGCAATCTCGAATTAGATGGAGATTTGGACACCAAAAAGACTGGAAATCCCTTAGAGATCTGGCATCTTCACCTCCTGCATCCAGTTAGCAAATTCCTTCCCAAGTTTGCTTTCCCCATTTTCCCAGCCTTGCCTTCTGTGTGCCAGGACCACTGTGGATTGAATTTGATGGAATTGTATCACCCCAAGCTCAAGTGTGATACCAGGGTACTAAAGACTTGGATCCCTTTCCTCCAGCTATTTTCCTATAAAGCAGTCGTTCCCAGCTATGGGGAGATTTTTGTCCCCCAGGGGACATTTGGCAGTGGCTGGAGACATTTTTGGTTGCCACAACTCAGGGGAGGGCGATATTATACTTCCTGCCTCTGGTGGCAGAGGCCAGGAATGCTACTAAACATCCTACCTTCCACAGGACAGAGCCTCACAACAAAGAATTTTCTAACCCAAAATGTCAGTAGTGCTGAGTTGAGGAACCCCTGCATTGCCATCAGCGATTGCAGTACTTCCTGACAGTCCTCCAGGAGCTACATGGCCGTCCTGGCTGCCGGGGAAAACCGCTGCGTTCTACTGCTAGGAAACAGGGCCTCTCCAGGTTCTGTATGTCTTCACTAGTGTCCTGTCTTTGCCATAGGAGACATCATCAATGATAGCCATGCTGAGGTCATAGCCAGGAGGAGTTTCCAAAGGTAAAGGCACATCCCCAGAGAATGTGACATAGCCTGCCATGGGGAGCCCCAGAATTTGCATTGCTAATAAACTCTCAAGTAACATTGATGATGTGGGTCTGTGAACTACACTTTGAATAGCCCTGGTCTAGACCGTGGTTCTCGTGCTTGATTTGCATCAGAATTATCTACATTTATGAAAAACCAGATTGCTGGGCCCTCCGCCGGAGATTCTGATTCAGCAGGTCGGGGGTGGGACCTGAGAAGTTGCATTTCTAACAAATTTCAGATGATGCTGGTTCAAAGGCCACACTCTGAGAATCACTGGTCTAGATCATTCTCGTAATTCCAAATCACTGCCAGTCCCATCGGTCTCAGTAACTCTTCCTTAGAAAGTCATCAACCAGCCAGAGTCTTTCCCTTCACCGCAGAGATTGGCTGTTCATTCTGATAACACCTTGTGCCCCATTAGGTACCTTCTCCATCAGCTCCACTTGGCGGCCGTCCTGAAGGAGGATAGCATCTTTGTCCCCGGAACTCAGAGAGGGCTGTGGAAACTCAGACCAGACCTCTTGTTTGTGTTTTTCTCCAGCCATACACCCTGTAAGTATAGTCAAGCCTTTGGATTAATGTTACGTTGTCTATTTACTTATGTCCTCTTATCCATAGATACATTTCTCAAAAAAGCTCTTCTGGCTGCAGTGTAGCTGCAAACAGTGGACAGTGCCTTTTTCTGAACAGGCCATGGTGCCTGATCACTTCTCCATCAAGGAGCAACATTGCAGTTCTCGATTCCCAATCAGGATTGGGAAGCTTCAAGCTGAAACCCCACAAGGTCTGAAACCATCAGTTGGGCTTAGAAGTCCAAAGCCCTGAGTTCTATAGCGATTTATCCTGAAACTCATTCTGTTCATTCATTCAACAGATATTTTCTACTACTTGTCGGTTACAGTATGACATTGGGTATATGGCAGTGAGTAAGACTGGTCCCTTGCTTAGCCTCATAGAATCCTTTCTGGAATGTGGATCTAGTCATGATCAGTTCAGTTAAATTTTGATGAGTTATAAGGGGATGTTCAGGTGCTGGGATTGCATCAGGCAGGAGGACCAGACATAGCCTAGGGGTGACCACTGTATATTTATTTGTCTTGAAAATGGAGAATAATTTCTACTCCTTTTAGATAGCAGCTTAGGAATGGTAGTAAAATTTCCTTACCCTAAAACCTTTGAAGTAAGGTTATAATATTGTCCTGTAAGTATTAAACTTTAAAACTAATACATGCAATTAGAGCAGATATAGGTAATGGCTCCGAAGAGACAGAAGAGCTGTCAAGACTTGATCATAGTTCAAATCAGAAATATAATGCAGCTAAAGGAAGAATGAGTCTATCAGAAAAGAATTGGTTGAGTCAAAGGCCAGAAAAATTATATACAGAGATAGGCAGGACTCATCCGTGCTTTCTTATGAGCAGCGGATACCCTGGTCCAAAAAAGGATGTTTCCTAACTCGGTGCTTCTCAAACTATAATATGCCTATGAATCACCCACAGATCTTAATAAAATGTGGATTCAAAATCATTAGGTCTGGGATGAAGCCTAAGATTCTGCATTTCTTTTTTTTTTTTTT